CGTTAGCTCTGGTTACCTTTCAGCTACTATTTAGTTACGACTTTGGTTTTAAATAATAAACTTCTTTCATCAGTTTCTGACGTTTGTTGTTCAAATAATGAATTAATTCTAAGTCAAACACCCACTTTTAATTTTATGTTGAATCTTTTTATTTCTTCAGACTGTCAGGTTATTTTATCCTTCTGTTATTTCAAATTAAAGTTAAATATTTGAACCAGAGTCACTGAACAGGCTGTTCTGACATGTGGTTATTAAATATTGTAGATAAATATTGTCACCGTGACACGAGGAACTAAAACAAACAAAACTGAACAGTTTAGCTCAGCTGAACCGATGCTAACTGCTAGCTTAGCCTAGGCTAACTGCTAGCTCACCTGCTTGTTAGCTTCATCGAAGAAGACGTTGTTGACGCTCGAGGCGTGTTCGAACTGAACGGGGTCCTCGCTCAGCTCCAGGTAATGCTGCTCCGCCATGCTCACACACCTGGCCTCTGTACCTGCTGCTCACCGGAACCAGACTCGGTTCATCAGCGGCGAAAGACACAAATTACAGGAACTGCCGCGAGACTTCCGCCTTCGACCTTCAGAATAAGAGCATGCATGTGTCCGTCATTACTCGATGCGGTCCAGAACCAAGCGTAATGAGGTTTTATGTAGACCCAGACCCGTTACGTACAGGATATTTTATCTGTATGTTTTGTAGACAGGTCTGGGTCCATCGTTTTATGTTTGTTTCATAAGAATCAATGTTCTGGCTGGGAGCTCTGAAGTCATCTTTTATTTTGAAGACTCAGGAAGTAACTTTCAAATAACTAGTCACGTGACTTTTCTTCCGTCACGTGACTCCCTCCATACAGTTAATCTCGTTTCTGTAATGAAACGAAATAAAAAGTCAGGTGTTTTTAATTTTTAAAGTTTATTTTCCTCTGAATGTTTTCAGCTGCTTTGAAGACATTTAAGCTTCTGGTGTCACAGCAAACTGTTTAAACATTTTAAACTTTTTAAACATTTTAATTAAACTTTTTAAACTTCCACAACACTCGGCTCATTGCAGCTGTCGTAGTTTCTTGTTTTTTTTAAACACCAACTCAAAAAACCAAAACGCAAAGACAGAAACAGACATTGTGAGCTTTTAGTTCCCGACATGAAGCTTTAAATTAAAGTTATTATAATTAAAGTTGTTTATTTTAGTTTCTCAGCAGGTCAAGGTTCAGGTTCTGGTTCCGGTCGTCACACGATACAGACTTGCAGCAGGAAGACTGACGGTCTCAGCCGGACCCTCGGATCCTGTTTGGTGAAACTTCTCCTGCAGTCAGAAGAGGTGCTCCTCCTCCAGGAGGAAGTGGGCGGGGCTTCTTCTCCTCTAAGGATTTTTCAGCGCAGCGTGGATGGAGGGGCGGAGCTAGTCGTCGGAGTCAGGATTTAGAGGAGGATCGGAGTCGTCCGAGGACACGGGGAACGTCTTCTTCCCCCGTCTCTGGACATGGTCCTCGTTCCTCTTCTCCAGCGCCACGATCTGAAACCAACGGATCATTAAAGAGACCCGGTAAGACGTGGTTCTGTATGACAGTTTTAGCAGTCAGTGTCTTACCTGCTGTAGATGAACGACCTCCGTTTGAAGAAACAGTGACAGGACGTGATGAGCTAAAGGTCAGTCAGAATCAAGCCCAGACTTTAACCGTGAAACACGGAAACATTTACGCTGCTTCAGTTTGACTCTACTCATTAAAGAAGACAGCAGCAGCTAGCTGTAGTGCTTCCTGCGTGAAGTCAAAATGACAGATTTGTGAAAAATGAAGCCGTTTTTATATTCAATCAGCTGTTGGTTCATCAGTTCTGACAGACTCTGTCCAGTTTAAATGATCAGTTTAATACATGCTACAGCTAGCAGCTGCTGCTAACAACAACCACAGCGCTTCCTGTATGGATCCATGAGAGTTCAGGTTGTTTTAAGACGACAGTCACCCACCTGAGTCTGGCTCTGACTAGCCTTTAGCTCATCGGTTCTGTCAGAATGGAACCGTTTCCTCAAACGGACCTCGTTCAGAGACGTCCACTGGTTCCACGGCTCCAACAGAACTTTAATTCAAGATTTACCTGCAGAGCTGTGGAGGTCTTTGACATTAGAACCAACCACCCTGCTGCTGCCATGGGGTCAGAATGATGCCACGGGACCTGACGTGCTCATCTTGACCTCAGGGCAGCAGCAGGGTGACGTCCTTATTGGATCCGTTTCCCCACAGAACCAGCTGCTCACCTCAGCCATGAACTGGGCCTCGTCCTCGGCGCCGACAGGAACGTTCAGGCCGCTCACGGCGTTGAAGAGGTCGTAGACGCTCAGCGCTTCAGTCACGCCTCTCCTCTGGAAGAACTGAAACACAAACAGGAAGTTTGGTTCTTCAGAGGTCAAAGGTCAACGAGTTTCAGAACACAAACTATAAATAAACACAAAATGTTCAGTTTCAAAATGGACCCAAAACCCACGACTTCAGTCAGGTGCTGAAGTTTTAAAATTATTTTTTAAACAAACATGAAGTTGTTGTTGTCTCATAATAACAGTTTGGTGCCGACAGGTGTTCCTCAGCCGTTACCGTGGCAACGTTCCTGCAGTCTCTGAAGAGGAACTCCAGACCATGAGGATGAGTCGGCTCCACGGACTGACTGACATCGATCAGCCACACCTGACAGATAAACAAACAATAAACAAACATCCTGATGGTGGTAAACAGCAGTGATGAACAGAGAGAGGAGACTCACCTTCCCTTCGAACCACAGCATGTTGTATTCACTGAGGTCAGCGTGGACCAGGTTACAGTCCTGATACAGCTGCTGCATGATCTGTGAACAAAAACCACCTGCTTAGAAAATAACCCAACTGTCTGTACCTGAAACATCTTAACTTCCTGTCTGTACCTGTGAACTTCCTGTCTGCACCTGTGAACTTCCTGTCTGTGCCTGTGAACTTCCTGTCTGTGCCTGTGAACTTCCTGTCTGTGCCTGTGAACTTCCTGTCTGTGCCTGTGAACTTCCTGTCTGTACCTGTGAACTTCCTGTCTGTGCCAGTTAACTTCCTGTCTGTGCCAGTTAACTTCCTGTCTGTGCCAGTGAACTTCCTGTCTGTGCCAGTGAACTTCCTGTCTGTACCTGTGAACTTCCTGTCTGTACCTGTGAACTTCCTGTCTGTGCCTGTGAACTTCCTGTCTGTACCTGTGAACTTCTTGTGTGTACCAGTGAACTTCCTGTCTGTACCAGTGAACTTCCTGTCTGTACCAGTGAACTTCCCGTCAGTGCCAGTAAACTTCCTGTCTGTACTTGTGAACTTCCTGTCTGTGCCAGTGAACTTCCTGTCTGTGCCAGTGAACTTCCTGTCTGTGCCAGT